AAATATTCATTTTAAAAATATAGTCTACAAAAACACCTTGGGCACAGGGAGTTTAAACAACCATGCTATATTATTATCCAAACACACCCATCTAGGACTGGAGTGTTCCAAGGTCTTGGTAACCCCCAAAACACTGAAGATTTTCAGGTAGCTGTGATGACAACACCCCCAAATCTGAAGCTGTAAGTCTGCCAGAGGGTTAGAGGGAGCTGACAATTCTATGCCAATCAGACCCATCAGTCGGGCCACTATTTACACTGAAGCCATTATTTACAGGATTGGTTTCTGGTGAGGACTCTTTCTGGCTGGTAGCTGGCTGCCTTCTCTCTGTGTCCTCACATGACCTTTCTTCTGGGCATAAGCACAGTTCACGGGGGTGAGAGTGGGTAGGGGAGAGAGGGAGAGCTCTCTGATATTTCATCTTATGAGGACACTAATCCTATTTGATCAGGGCCCCACCCTTATGACTTCATTTATCCTTAAAAACTTCCCAAAAGGCCCCATCTTCTAACATAGCCACTCTGGAAGTTAGAACTTCAGCACATGAATTTTGGGAGGACACAAACATTCAGTTCATAACTGCTCTAAACAGGATGGTCTGGCTTTCAAACCCCACTCTGTTATAAGCCATCTGTATGACCTTGAAGAAGTTCCTTTAACTTTTCTAAGCATCAGTTTCTTTGTGGTAAAACTGGGAGCAATAATATTATCTATCTCAGGGCATTGTAAGAATCAAAGAAGATAATGTATATGGTGGGCATTGGGAAGGGTCCAGAATATAGTAGATGTTTGCTAATTGTTAAGATCATTATTAGAATCCTCTAAATTCTGAGAATGAGTTTCCTCTAAGGTAGTCCTAGGAGTCTAGTCCAGTCCGGAGTTCCAGGACTAAAGCAGGTTTCTGTGAATGGGATCCCCCAACCAGAGAGGCTGCAGGACTCCCCAGATTTGTGGGAGCCCAGCCTCTTCAGAGCCTGGTTAGCCTTCAGGGATTTCCAACGGAGAAGTGGAAAACGATAAGGTGAGCCATGGTGGCAGCCCAAGTGTTCTAGAGAAGGATTCAGTGTTACAGCTATCGGGAGCAGGTCTTTTTTTCATCTCCTCACATAGAGGATGGCAGAGGGAGGGACTGAGCCCACTGAACATTAGTGAAGGGTCATGTTGGATTCTTTCTGGCTTCTGTAGCTTAAAAAACCTTCTTAACACAACTTTTTAGATTTTAAAAGGTAATACAAGTTTAATGTATAAAATCTGAAAAATAGAAAAAACTGTCAAGAACATAAAAATCATCTGAAATCCTTCTACCCAGAGTAACTCTGATAACCTTCCCTGTAAGTCCAAGACCCTGGAGTTGTATGACCTCTGATGGGTTACCTGTTATTTCAAAACCTCTATTTCCTTCTCTTAAAATAGGTCTAATACTTCCCGCCTTGTTCTTGCTTCTTGGGGTTGCTGTGTGAATTAAATTCCAGGCACAAAGTGTTAGCTTACTAAGAGCCTTATTACTATTGTTACTATTGAAGAAGACACCCTTGGCTTATGATGATTCCAGCATCACAGCTCAGACAAGAAAGCCTGGTAAATCATTATCACATCATTCTTCCAGGGTCTCCACCCTCCAGGTGTGTGCTATGAGTATGTGTTTTGGATTAATAAGCAAATCAATATTCTCATTTACCATGCTGACATAATGACTGTGCAGCAATTTCGCAGCATAAATATTCCTATTTTCCATCTTACTTAAAGTTCTTTTCAAAGGTGAGGATTATATATTTGCACAGAGGGTTGTGTGTGTCTTATCACCATTATTTCTTGCTGAGAACTTGCACCTCTCCTTTTGTGGCCACTTCTGGCCTTGGAAGGAAGAGATTGCATCTCTGAAGGCTTTCGAGGCTTCCTTTGGCCAGAAAGATTTTGTTCATCACCTAAGAACCAAATTCATTTCCTGATTATTGTGTATTAAATTAAAATTCTAGCTTTCAGATTTTAGGACAAAAGTTCTCCTGACATATGTCAGCTTTATTCCAGCTTCAAACAACAGGCTTATTGCTGTGACAGTCCTGGTCTCCTCGATTCCTCCCCGCTGCCTCTTCCCAGTTCCTTCCACACTAGGGGAGGGATCCCTTCTCCCCGAAGGTCAGAATGATGCCTGGCAGGGACTAGATGTTCATGGGAGACAATGTAAGGAAAGGAGGCTTACTCCCAGCCACCTGTCTTATATCCCAGCATCTCCCAGCAGCAGACCCCAATGGACCAGCCTCTCCTAACAGCAAGAGGACCTGACAGTCTAAGCTGAATTCAGACTGTAAACTTTCTTGGTGTGGAGAGTCCATGCACTCCAGCCTGGTCAATTTGACAAAAACAAACAAACAAACAAACAAACAAACAAAAAACTGCCTAACCAAGTGATTTCAGGAGAGCAGGCTAAGCTCTCCACCTGGCTGACTTATTTCCTTATAAGAGTTACTCCTTCAACAGATTATAAGACCTTTTCATGCTGGGACACAGGCTTCCTGTACTTTGGCTGGTGGCAGGCAAAATAAAATGATGAGGATGAGAGATAGAGTGACGCTTTCTTTGCTCTGTTCACAGTGATGTGCTGTATTGGAAAAGGGATGAAAGTTGAGCATTATCCTATATACAGAGTTGCCAAATGTCCCAGACAACACATGTGGAATTGGCCTACTGCTTTAAACCATTTGATTGTTGGGTGCACAATTATCAGTAGAGGCGGCCATTCATTCATTTTTTTTTCACAGTTTGAATTTCCTGTACTGGATGCTGGGGGTGAGGACTGGGCAGATATAGTGCTCACTACTATGCCTTTGACTTTGAGGACTTAGTCCAGAGGTGGAGACAGATTCCAGTGCCATGAAGTCAGTGAAGGTACAGAGGGAGTCAGGGAAGACTTCTCAGAAGAGGGGACAATTGATTGGATCCTTAAGAATAAGTTTACTGAGTAAAAATGTTGGCTTTCTTTGAGCCCACAATGACATTGCAGTGTCATTGTGGGAGGGAGGTATATCTCCCTCTGCTTGGTCAGATTTATATTTTCTAAATCTAAATGAAAATAATTTCTATTCAGATATGGAATGGTCAAGAGAGTTGCCAAAATCGACCTGCATTAAACATGTGTATCAATTAGGGGAGAACTGACATCTTTACTATGTTAAGTCTTCCGATCCGTGAACATGAAATGTCTCTCCACTTATTTAGATCTTTGATTTCTTTCACCAGCATTTTGTACTTTTCAGCATACAAATCCTATATGTATTCTTAGATTTATGCCTAAGTATTTCAATTTTCTTAAGCATCTATGTGTTCATTGCTAATATATAGAAAAACAATAACTTTTTGTATGTTGATCTTATACCTTATGACCTTGCTGAATTCACTTATTTGTTCTAGGAGATTTTTTTGTAGATTCTTTGGGATTTCCTGCATAGCCCCTATCACGTCACCTGCAAATAAGAACAACTTTTTTTATTTTCAATTGATACATCTTTCATTTCATTTTCTTTTGTCATAGTGCTAGCTAGGACTTTCTCTATTGAATAATAGTGGTAAGAGTAGACATCCTTGGCTTATTCCCAGTTTAGCAGGGAAAATGTTCAGTCTTTCATCATTAATTCTGATATTAGCTATAGGTTTTTTGTTGATGTTCTTTATCAACTTGAGGGTGTTAACTTCTATTCCTACTTTCCTGAGAGTCTTCATCATGAATGGGTGTTGTATTTTGTCAAGTGCTTTTTCTGTATCAATTGATATGATTGTGTGATTTTTCTTCTTTAGCCTGTTAATATGGTGGATTACACTGATTGATTTTCAAAAATTGAGCAAGCTTTGCATCCCTGGAGGTAATCCCATTTACATGGGTGGGGTTTTTAAATTCTTTTACATACTGCTAAATACTGTTTGCTGAGGTTTGTTAGAAATTTTTGTATCTACATTCATGAGAGATATCACTTTAGAGGTTTTATTTATTTATTTATTTTTGGTACTGTCTTTGTCTATCTTTGGTATCAGGGTAATACTGACTTCATAAAATGACTTGGGAAGGTTTCCTTCTCTATTTTCTGGAAGGGATTGGTGTTAATTCTTTAAGTGTATGGTAGAGGTCTGTGGCTTTTGAAAAACGGATTCTGGGGGCACAGCCTGAACCAAATAAAGCTGAGTCTTCAGGGGTGGAGCTTGAGCATGGATGCTTTTCAAAAGCTCCTCGGATGTGTTTATCAATATGCAGTCAGCTAGGGAGCTTCAGTGTGGTAGTGGACTTCTTGATGCAAACGCAGGAGGGTGAACTGCAGCAGAATCCATCTGAAGAATGGCATGAATTAAACAGCTGTGAGGCTTGGAGAATTTGGCCCTTCTGAGACACGCCCCAGGAGCCTCCGATATCTCCAGAACCATATATGGTTTAGTGGGGACATTCCTCATGTAAGGCCTCTGGGTTTGACTTGGCTAGTTAGTAGCCATAAATTCCTTAATAGCAATTTCAGTTTTCTCATCTGTGAAATGCCACTTTTTGGACTGTTGTAGTAATAAAATGAGAACCCAGGTCTCCCACATTGGAGGTGGATTCTTTACAGTCTGAGCCACCAAGGAAGCCCAAAATGAGACAAGAGATATGAAAACTCTTTACAACCCCACATCTTGAGAAGCTGAAAACTGATGTTTCTTTGGGTTCTCATTTCAGTTCAGTTCAGTTCAGTCACTCAGTCGTGTCCGATTCTTTGCAACCCCATGAATTGCGTTTGGGTTCTAGCTTTACCTTAATTGCCGCAGTGTCAAGATTCCCAAGTATTCCTGCTGTGAGGTTAGCAAGAGGCCTGTGACCCCAGCTGGCTGTAGGACCTGTGTCCTCAGGCTATGGAGAAATTTCTTCCCCATCCCTGCTCCCTCAACTCTGCCCATTGATCTTGGGCTCTCACAGGAAGGGGTGGGACCTTGGTGACCATGAAAAGGGACTTTGACCAATGCCCCCCTCTCACCTTTCACAGGAACATGCTTGCCAATTCAGCCAGTGTGCGGATTCTCATCAAGGGAGGCAAGGTTGTGAATGATGACTGCACCCACGAGGCTGATGTCTACATCGAGAATGGCATCATCCAGCAGGTGGGCCGTGAACTCATGATCCCTGGAGGGGCCAAGGTGATTGATGCCACGGGGAAGCTGGTGATCCCTGGAGGCATCGACACCAGCACCCACTTCCACCAGACCTTCATGAATGCCACGTGCGTGGACGACTTCTACCATGGGACCAAGGTAATGCTTCTGGGTGCTGAAGGTGCTTCCTCGGTGGTGTCCTCTGTTTCTGGGCCTGCTCCAGGCTAGACTCTCATGAACAGGGTGCTCCCACTGTATTGCTCAAAGAAGAAATTTGGCCTTGAAAGGCACCACTGTGGCAACTAAAACAGGAAATTTTGGGCTAAATGTCATAGATTTCCATGATTATGGAAAAAGGGGGCATTTAGACCCATTTTGCCAATCTTATCACGTAGGTGAGGTACCGAGGCTAGGAACTGATTTTATTTTTATGTTCTTATGTCGTGTAGTGCCGATCTAGAGGAGGAGAATTAGTTTTGTTTGTTATTGTGCATGTATGTGGGTGGTGGGGGGAAGGAGGTTGGTCTAATGGACTCCTTTATGTATGATAAGCTAAATTAATTTCCCCCAAGTTGTGAAAAATAGATATGCTTTTCTAGATGATTTTAATGGTAGAAATTATGAAACAGACATAGTTAGCTATCTTTGATTATCTTTCCTAGCTTGTTATTTTTAAAAACAGCTTGGAAACCACTGGTGGTGGGCCCTCTTTCCAGAGTGAGTTATCATGGACAATATTTAAGGTTTACTGAGCTGGGCTGGAGCTACTTCAATGCAAAATACAACAATTCAGACCTGTGAAACAAATCAGGACAAAATTACATTTTCTCAAAAGCATCACAAATATGTTTTTTTCATCACTTGTCTGTGCTCCAGAATCCTGTCATTGCTGTCATCTCTGCATTGTAATTATCTGTCACACGCAAGCTTCTTTCTGAAGCTCAGACTGTGGGCTCCTTAAGGGCAAGGCCTGACCGTATTCTTCTGTGTTTCTAGCGCCTGACCCTGGCCTAGAATTAGAGTAGCTGACCAGTAAATGTTGTTGAATGAATAAGTGATTGACATTTATCTATGTGGGTCTCTACATCCAACTATGTGTCAGATTCACCTATGAAGTTTTTTTCAAATGCAGAATTGAATCAGAATCTCAAGGGCCAGAAGTCCCTGACCTTGGCAGCAGCCCTTTGTACAGTCTGATCTATAAAGGACTTAGCCACTAATGCTTCCTGGATAAAAGGAGTCCACTGGCCACTGGCCCAGTGGCTATGGTCCTATGTCCTACTTTGGCCCGCTGCCACAAATCCCCAGTGGCCCTGTACCCTAAAATCTCACCTCTGTTCTCTCTGGGGTCCTCAGGGAGCCCCTCTTCCATGCTCAGTGCTCTCTCTGGGATCCATACTCCTGGGGCCTTCAGTGCTCCTCCTACTGGAGCTCCCCAAACCCACCCTGAAGAGCCAGGTTGGGGCAAGCAGAGGCTGGCCTTGGAGTTGCAACATTGCAGGCTAGCCCCACCTCAGGCAGGTGGCCCTGAAGATCTCCCTGAGCATATGCCTCCTTCCCAGTCCTGGAGCAGCAGATCAGATCCCTGAAGGCTGAGCTGTGAGGAGTCACAGTGGCCATGGCCCAGCCTGTGCTGAGGCGAGGATGATATCCCAGGCCACAGCTGCCCGCTGGAGCCAAGCCCAGGAAAGAGAGGTGTTTTGTGAACCCTCCCTAGTTTCTCCTCTGAGAATTACTCTGGGGCCCTGCAAGTGATACCTGACTCATGAAATGGGGAGCCCCATCCTCATACACACTAGCAGGGTCCTCTCAAGGGTACCCAGGTGGCAGACAGGGCCTTTCTGAAGTGAGTGAGCACTTTCAACTCATCATGTCCGTGCACTTGAGCCCTGCCAGGCTAGGCCTGCTTTGCTTGTGGTAAATTTTTAAAATTTTTTTAAGTTTTTTTTTTGCTGCACTGAGTCTTTGTTGCTGTGTGTGGGCTTTCTCTGTTTTGGCAAGTGGGGCTACTCTCTGGTTGTGGTGCCCAGGCTTCTCGTTGAGGTGGCTTCTCTTGTTGGGGAGCACGGGGTCTAGGTGCACAGCTTTCAGGAGTTATGGCACGTGGGCTCAGCAGTTGTGGTGCATGGGCTTAGTTGCCCTGCAGCATGTGGAATCCTCCCGGACCAGGGATCGAACTCATATCCCCTGCATTGGCAGGCAGTTTCTTAACCACTGGATCACCAGAAAACCCTCCAGATATTTTTATTGAAGTATAGCAGACTTATAGAGAAGTGCACAGATTCTAAGTACAAAGAATTGTCACAACTGAACCCACCTTTGTGAACAGCACCCAAATCAAGAAACCAAACATTGCCAGCACCCAGAATTCCCCCTTGTGTCCCCTCCTCAGTCACTGCTCCTCACCAAGGAGAACCACTATCCTGACTTCTAATACCATAGTCTTTTTGTTTTGTAAATAACAGCTTAATTGAGATATACACGCCATACAATTCACCTGTTTAAAGTGCAGATGTCAGTGGTTTTCTGTGTATTCACCATAGGTTGGTTTTGACTGTGCTTTAGGTAAATGAACTCAGGCAGTCTATCCCCTTGTGTTAGCTTCCTTTGCCCAGTATTATTTTTGTGAAATTCACCCATGTTGTTGCACATCATACTTACTTCACTTTCATTGCTTGCTAGTATTCTACTGTACAAAAGCCCATGTAGTACCCAACCATTCCACCATCAACAAGGTCGTTAGTTTGGGGCTATTACAAATGCTGTGGCTATGAATATTGTGTACATGTCATTTAGCAAACGTCTGTACGTTTCTGCTGGACATATTCCTGGAGGTTGAGAGTGCCGGGTCATAGAAGACACACGTGTTTAGCTTTAGGAGATGCTGCCAAATCACTTTCCAATCTGATTGTAACAATTGATACTCCCAGCAGGATTCTAAGAGAGGCCCTAGTATCTATAATCAGTATAACTCTGATCACCACACCAATGCATGCCAGGGTCTATTCCGCAGTGTGTACCAAAAATTGTGTGTGGGGTGCTGCCTTGCTCCAAAATTGTATCTTGCTGGTTACTGTTCCCCCTCCCCCTCCTTGAGAAATCTTTACTCCACAGTCAGATGCCATGCTGTCACTGTGCTGCCTACCAGTCTCTGGGAGGGCAGGCTGGCCTTCTTTGTCTTCTTTGCCTCATTGTCATCTGCCAGGGCCTCATTAGCCAGGAGTGATGAGTTTTCCTCTGAGAGCCTGCAGCTCTTTATGGCCGGTGAAGACCTTTGCACGTGCATCTTTGCACAAGGCGGTGGGTAACTTTTGATCTCTTCCAAGCTTCTCATCCATGGAAGCAGCTGCCTCTGGAAAAACATATAAAAGCCCCTGTGTGATTTAAAGGTCCCGCTTCTCCCAGTTCCTGCAGGTTCAGGCACCCCCAATCCATGCCAGGTGTTAGTTATAGGAAATGTAAGGCCTGTAGACTCCAAGCCAGTCTGACTGCTTGTGTCACCTAAACTGGGCCTTTGTTATAACCACCCCCTAAGCAAGATCGGACTTTTTGCATGTTTCTCCTTGTGCCCCAGCTCGTATTAAGTGTCTGTTTCATAACACAGCCCCTGACCCAGTCCTCCCCAGACCCCTTCAGCAGACCCTGCCCAGAGTCCTTCCTCAGACATCCCAGCCTCTTAAGACCTGGCTTCCTGCCCTGGTCCTCACTCCCCTCCACTTCCGGATTGCTCCTCCCTTTTGGTACACATGCAGCTGGATTTTTTGGCTTCCTCTTACCTCTAATTCCTGACAGTCTCCTAGGGCAAGAGGTGCTTTCAGAGGCAATGCTGATCTCTGTATGTGTAGGTTTAATTATTCATACAGCCTGTGGCACTCAAGCCGAGCCTGTGCACCCTGGTAGATCGTCACTGACCTACTTCGTACCTTCTAAGAAAGGTAGCAGTTGATTCGCTGTAAGCAGCTGGGTTTATAATAGAATAATAACCCCAAGGAAAAGCTCTCCTGTGTGATTAGCCTATAGAGAAAGAGAGATCAAGTTGCACCTTTTTGTTCTTGTCAGACAGATCTGCAGGGCCTTGAACTCTGCACCCCCTGAGCTATTGCATGCTTGTCAATTTGGCGGCAGCAGCCAGGGCTGGGAAAACAAAACAGTTGAAAGGCTGGCTTTTCTGCGAGCATCTGGGACTCCATTGTACTAGGTCTAAAGGGATTTCTCTAGCACTTCTTTAACAAATGCTTTGCCCGCCTCTGCTTCTGTTAGAGGCTGTGGCAGGCTCTGCCTGGCTCCTCAGCCTCTGCCCCCCCCTTGCTCACAGCCGGGTCACTTGATCCTCTTGATCCTCCTGTCCGCCTCCTCCACACCCTCCCCACCTGCAGGCCCTGCCCTCTCAGAGGCCCAGGACCCCCTGCTTGTTAAAAATACCCCCTCTGAAGAAGGAGGTTATCTCCTTGGGGAGCCCAGGACAGGAGGGGAGGGAGGAGAGCCAGTGACACCAACTGTGTTAACAAAGGTGTAGAATACACTTGGGTCATGGGGGTCTTTTATTATTATTCTGCTTAGCCTACTTATACATTATATTTACTCTTTTGTGTGAATTTAATATTACATAAGAAGAATGTTAATGCAGGCCATTGGGCTCCACCCCACCAATGGCTCTCCATGGTCCGGTGGGAATATCAGAATCAGGCTTTTTCAATTACAGGCACAGCCCCTTCACTAAGACAGTGATAAAGGGGGCAACCATGGACAATCGGAAAAACTTCCTGGCTGTCTTTTCTGCCTCTCTCTCCTCCAAAGATATTAAGAACTACTGTCCAGGCCAATGGTTTTCAACCTTTGAAAGCAAATGACAGTAAAACTACTTGGGGAATTTTTTAAAAATATATGTCCAGGCCCCTCCCCTCTGCTGTCCCCCACCCTTCACCCCAGACCAGTGTCTTTAGGTCTGCCTCTTCCCCCATCAGTATGTTTTTTGAAGCATCTTTGATGATCCTAACACTTGTGTGTGGATTATTAAGGAACTTTCTCGGCTGTTTTGAATGGCATGTTGTCCTGGCTGTTAGCCCTGTTGCCCATCTAACCCTCACCTTATGTGTCAGGCTGATACCTGAATCACCATGGAAAGCCTGAGCCTGCCTCGCCTCACCCTTCCCAGTATT